TATATATATATATATTATATTTTATGTATAAAAAATAAAAACTAGGTTCCTTTAGATTCTCTTGATATGGATTCTTACATTCTTACATTAAAAAAAATTGCTTGTACAGTAATCCTTCGCCACTTCGCGCTTCATGTTTTGCATGTTGAGTGCTTCACGGGTTTTTCTAAAATACTGTATTCATAAAAAACAATAATTTAAAAAAAAATCATCAAAAAATCAAAATGAAAAAAATACAGTCACAGCCATATAGCGAAAAGACGCGTTGTTTCATGTTCATGTGCGAGAGAGGTTTCCCTGCAGGTCGAACAAAGAGTTTACGTGACTCTGAAGTTTTGTACATGTCCACTCAAACAAGGCGCGTGATTGGCGACATAGACCAATGAGAGCACAAGTGGATTTATCCTGTGAGCTGATTGGGCTCGCACCATTGCAGCCTCACCCAGCATGTCCCCTTGTCTCGCATACTACATCTTAGTGTTGTGTTCGCGAAAACTTCTTTTGTTCAAGCGCTAACTTTTTTTGATTAGTTAAGGTGCGCTCCAACCTCTTGTCGCCGCCGAAGTAATGCTGTGTGAGAGCATGTAAGCTCGTCCCTCCACGCAGATGGCACCATCAACAGGGAGACATTGCTTCAACGGTGGCGGCAGGGAATTGGCTCGCAGCCATGACTGCATCGGGGAGGCCTTATTTTGAGAGTTTGTGAGCTGTTTTTTAGACACGTCACAAGGAAGCAATGACAGCTCAGACCAAGACTTATGTGACAGCCAAAATTGTCAGCTCGGTCAGAGGTTTTATCTTCACGAAAAAAAGACCAATTGAGGCTTAAGGCACATCTTTTTAGCTTGGCTTTTAAATAACATACTAAGATAAGATAAGATAAGATAACCTTTATTTGTCCCACATTGGGGAAATTTGCAGTCTACAGCAGCAAAATTGGGGGAGGGGGGAACAGTGTTTCATTGCTCTCTCTCTCTCTCTCTCTCTCTCTCTCTCTCTCTCTCTCTCTCTCTCTCTTTCTCACACACTCATCACATTCAAACATATTTATATGCCTATTTTAATTTATCTGTGTATATCTATGTATATATGTATGTATGTTTGTACGTATGTATGTATGTGTGTATATATGTGGTATGTATGTTCATGTGTGTGTATTTTTTATGTTGTAAGTTAGAAATGCTTTTAAAGAATTGTACAGCACTTTGAGTTGCATTTCTATGTCTGAAAAGTGTTATAAAATAGTTTGATTGATAGAAAATAAACTAAATCTATTTCAAGGAATAAGAAGACAAGGTTAACATCTTAACCTAAAGCCTGTACTAGTCAAGTGAGTGCCGCCTACATCGTCACCAGCACAAGCCTCTTCACCACTCAGAAGGCAAAGTTGATAATCGTTAATTACCGTATATGGTTTTATAATTAAAAATTCAAGTAAATATGTCTACTATTGTAATCTTTGTCTCAAACATGTAAATTATAAATACTGTTTACATATTTTAAACATGCTGGTACCCACACAAACATCCATAAAAATTCCTCGGGGCAAATCCTACCTCATGGTTTTCACCTTTTGTGGGGGGGGGTTTCTGGTCCCCATTAACCTCGTAAAATGAGGGATTACTGTATGACACACCTTGGCAGTTTGGAAGAAATAGATGATCACAATAACTAGCTTCTAAAATGTGAACAGCGAGTGAATTCGAGCTTGTCAATAAAAAAAAAAAAAAAAAATCAATTCATTTTTATCTGGGGTCGGCAACCCAAAATGTTGAAAGAGCCACATTGGCTCAAAAAAACAAAAACAAAAAACAAATATGTCTGGAGCCGCAAAAAGTTAAACGCCTTATATAAGCCTTATAATGAAGGCAACACATGCTGAATGTATTTATATTAGCTATATTAGCCTACGATCAAAATGACTAAGTTGGCTACAAATACACAATGAGCCTTCATGATAAAACGTTTTTTCCCCAGCAGTGCATCCTGTAGAGAAGCGGTGCCCAAACTTTTTTGGACCAAAGATCTACTTTTCGATCAACCAACCTCCCGCAATCGACCCGTTACCGCACACGCATGCATACACACGCACTTACACACACATGCCATCATGAGCAACAGCCATAACGGGACCGAAGATGATCGAGGCATGGAACACACTTTTGCAGCGTGTTTATGATCGTAGCTCACGTGTACTGTTTAAAAATGCTTCCCTCTGCCCTCCACATTCCCGTTCTTTGCCAGTTCTTTGCCAGTACCAGTGAATTGTACATGAAATGCTGTTTTTTTTGACAAAGGCCACCTGACCAACATCCCGCCCTGCTAATTGAAACATGTGCTGTTGCAGGCTATGATGCAAATCTTCATTGACAAAAATATTGAAATGTAATATTTATTCAACACGTTTTTACAGAATTGGAAAACACTAAGAATATTTGTTTTGTACCGTATTTTCTGCACTATAAGCACACCGAAAGGTCATCCATTTTCTTAAAAGCTCACAGTGCGCCTTAAAAGCCGGTGCGCCTTGTGTATGGTCATTACGGTAATATGTCAACCCCAAGATGGCTCCTTGCTGGAGACATGCTTACAATGTTATAACTTGCTGTTGGTTCAGTGAACTGTGTCGCTACTTTATTAAATACGTTTTTGTTGCAGCTCCCAAAAAAGGAGAGCTGTGGTGTTGTTTTTTAAATGCACACTTTATTAATGGTTTTCACAGTCTCAACAATTACAGGTACGTCTTTGTCCGTCTCCGTGCCTTCTCTTCTTCCGTTCGACTCGAGAGGCGTTCATGACCGCCTCCGAAAAACGTAAAATTAACGATTCCTTCAATGAAACTACGAAACTTGAAAACAATGCATCAAAACAGAAAATCAAGCAACGAAATCACAAAATAAATTCTACGGCGATCCTACAGAATTTATTTTGGCATTTCCTCGTTTGTGAATACAGTACACAACAAAGGAATAAATAACAAACACTTCTGAGACAGTCCAGTCTCCGACATTTTACTGACGTATGATCGTTCTGTTGGAGCTATGCTCAAGGAAATGCCAAAATAAATTCTGTAGGGGAGCTACAGAATTTATTTTGTGATTTCCTCACTTGATTTTCTGTTTTGATGCATTATTTTCAATTCTCGTAGTTTCATTAACGTAATCGTTAATTTACGTTTTTCGAAGGCGGTCATGAACACCTCTCGAGTTGAACGGAATGAGCGTAGCTCCATCTAGTGGATGCATTGTAGAGGTAAGAAAAAAATCCCGCCTGACCCGACCCGACCCGGCCCGCGGGTATTTAAACCCGACCTGGCCCGAGCCCGACCAATTAAATTGATTTGCAGGCCCAAGCCCGAAGCAAACCCGAAATTTCATATTTTATTTGTGAGGACTCGGGAGGAGGAGGGGTGATTTATGATAACAAATTAAAGCCTGTCTTTTGTAACGAAATCTAAGTTAAACAAGACTCTACAAACATTTACATCTTTTATTTTTCTGTTTCTGCAGAGGGTACATTAACCGACAATTTTCCATCATTGAAGGATTTTTTTTTAGAGTTGACAGAAAAAATTTAAGGCCGTCCGTCATTTTGACGGGTTGAAAATTGGGCCAAAAACCACAGCAGCAGTACGTCGTTAAAAATCTCGCGCAGCACTTTAAGAGAGAGAAGCAGAGAGACAAAGAAGAACAATGACTGGTGGATAATCGACAGAGACAGGAAGGAGTTCTTTGAATTGTCATTGCAAGAGTTTAGTACAGAACATGTGATGAGGCGACTTCTGTTTTTTTGCCTCGAAACGCCTCAGCGCACTGTGATGTTTGGGTAGCAACATCACAGTGAGTTGTTATATATTTATTAAAAAAAAGTCAGAGAAAGAGAAGCCCAGCCCGACCCGACCCGAAGCAATGATTGACATTTTAGGCCCGACCCGAATTCAGGTCGGGTCGGGCTTGGGCTCGGGCTTAAGATCTTATCTCTAATACATTGTAGATTGCATCCAGTGTGTCCAATACATGAAAAAAATTACAAAATAGGCCATTCATTGAAGGTGCGCCTCATAATCCAGTGCGCCTTTTAGTGCGGAAAATACGATACTCTTACCGAAACCATATTAAAACAAACATTTTCCAAGGAACCACTGGGGTGGAGCTAAAGAGCTGCATGCGGCTCCTGAGACGTGGGTTGCCGATCCCCGGATTTAGATCTAGAGTAGATGGGATTAGGCTAATAAAATATGAATGACTGACTTCTTTCACACTTACAGCTGCCAAACTTGAGAGGACATGAGTGAGAGTCCATGGGAAAGTCTTCCAGGTGCATGGGGCACTCAGCTTGAACCGTTAGCCTGGGGGAATAAAAAAATCAGCTGTGGTACCAAGTTGACAACAGTAGTGTGGGGGTGGGGCTGATTCATAGAACTAGTGTTAGGTCGATAGTTTTAAGTTATCATACATTTGCATTTTATTAATGATTAATTGATTATGCTTGCAATGACGAATGCTTATGCCTGCAATGATAAATAGATTATGCTTGCAATGAAGAACGGAAATGCCTGCAATGAATTACGCTTATGCTTTTAATAAAGACATAATGCTTTGACTAAAGAATATAATTCTTTTAATGAAGATATGCTCACATTTATGATAAAGAATGCTTAGTGCACTGTGTGACAGTTGAAGGATGCAAACACCTTTCCGAGAAAGTGCTTGGAAACAGATAAGTATAAAGACAGAACAAGAGCATGGTCGGACGTGGATGGTGCTGTCAACACCAGCTGCAACTTGATGTTTTTGTAATAATTACACACATGTACGTAATTTTCACTCATATACACACACATAGTCAAACAAGTTTAGTGTGTCTTCAACAGCCCTTACCCTTTAGGTTGGACACACCCATGTATTAGATTCCCAATGAGAAATAAATGAGGGGCGAGCGGGGAGATCCTTGGGTGATGTGCAGAGAACTGAAACCTAACGGTTCTCTTCATTCTCCACTCGTACCAGAATTGAGTCTCCTGTCTCCTTGTATTTTATTTCTTAATGTCTAATTGATTGACAACTATGGAGTGAGCTTTTGGGAGCTCAGGTGCGCTTTGTGGGTGCTTGGCTTCAATGTGACTCGCACTGCAGGCATTTCTTAGGTAATATGTTTACTACTTTCATTGTAGTTAGATGTGGTCTAACACTGTATGAGATTGTGTTAAAAAGTATTGTGTCTTTAGCAGCAACTGAAGTGTAACTGAACGTACAATACAGGTGGGTATCACTTGTATTGGTATCCCGTGTCAGACGCTATCTTCTCATCAAGTCGAAAATCACCCATCTGCTATTATCAACCAAACAACCCGAGGGAGAAAAACATGAACTGAACTTCATTATTTTCATTTTGAACTACTTTGTATTTATTCGCAAAGTGTTACCAAGTCACCTCATAGTATACAGCAGCGTTCCATCCTCCATAATCCTCAGCAGTTTGTTGGGCATTGTCATGTTATGCGCCACGGACTTCTTGCCGTTGTGAAAGAAGGTATCAGGAGTCCAGATCTTACTGGCCATCAAGTTGTTGAGGGGCAGAATGTTCATTGGGCCATGGAACTTTAATCGCTCGTCTTTCCAAGTCTGACGGAAGAAAACATCGATGGTGTACTCCTGACAAAAGAGAAAAAAAATGCAGTATACTGTTAAAAAGAGACCCAAAATTGCAATCCAAAGTATTATCCGAACTTTGAGCAGAGGATAAACAAGAACACTGAAGTCTCATCTACAATTTCAAAAGGAGTGTATTCACTCCACAATATCTGATGTCTTTTTTGTTAGCTGCAGCAGATCAATTCATTGTGAATGCATTTTACTGGAAGACTGGACAACAGTGTAACCCACAAATCGGTCAACTTTAAACATGACCATTATCATATTATAGGCTCAATTTTAGTTCGCAGCGCAACTGTAACTGTGCGCAATGCTTTCTTTATTTTGGTATTTTGCTAGACTTTGCACAGGTGGAATTGGGTGTAGTGGGGCGTTTGCGCGTTAGTAAAGCATTGTGGAATGAAAGTAATGTTTACCCAATCCTAGTGGCATCCCTAATTTGCTCAGTACGACTGAGTACGCTGTGCTTGACATTGCAAAAACAGAAATAGACTTGGGTTCTGTGCATGACATTGGCAGGTAAAATACAAGATCTTCCGTTGCAGATGATAAAGTCACTTTGCACCCGCAAACATGCGTCCTTGTGTGACACCCTACCCCTAATAGTGACGGTGGTGTCTGCCTGTGCCTTGATCAAATACACCAAAATCATGTTACACCACCTGGGCTACGAGTTAGCGCTGCTTCTGCCAAATCTAAAATCTAGTCTATTTTTGTGACCAAATTTATGTGCGCCAGGGAGCACAGCAGGAAAGCCCAGTGAGGCATAACGCATCTCTCTCTCTCTCTCTCTCTCTCTCTCTCCCCCCCCCTCCCTCCCCGCCGCTCATGTAGCAAACACAATAGAAGAAAGTATGACACAGACAGAGGCAGAGGACCGAGGGGTAAAACACGGA